AACACTTTGTGGATACTTTCAAGGCATTGTCTGAAAAATCCCCCAACCAAGTAACGCATGAAATTTATTGATTTCCCTCAAACCATAAAAGAACACATTTTTATTCGTAAAACAACCAATAAAAACGAGTTTTCGAGGCAAGAACTGGTCAAGCTCATTCCATAAGGAATTTTTCTACTCATGGATTCTTTTTGAAAACTTTCCAAATTCTTGGGCTTGTAGGATGTAAGTCCAAGTGGATCACAGAGACCTAATAGGAGCAATGATTGACAGAAGGCAGCGGGTATGAAAGAAAGGAGGGAGTGAATGTTTTGGCTTTTTGACCTCCAAACACAAGAAATCTTTTTAGTTCAAACTCCAGTGATTACAAGCTGAGCTGGTATTTAGAGCGGCCCTGCTCCCCCTTTACCTCGCCTCCCCCACGACTTCCCTACATTCACCACAGACTGTCAAGTGCAAACGTGCCAAAGTTTACAACTCCAGTATTGGATATATAAACGTGTGTCCGTGTGTGTGTGTTTGTGGGTGTCTGTCTGTGTGTAGGGTTTTAGCAGAAAGGTAAGCAGGGTCAGGGGTTGCTTCGTGGGGTTCTGGAGCCAGTGGGCCTTCTTCATTGTTCAGGCTAGAGGAGCAGAAAGGGGCAACAAGTATTAATGCCGAAGGTATTGCTTGCTTGAGGCAGGGGGTTAGCAATAAGTGTGTGTGGATGTGTATCCTTAAGCATCAGTGTGTATGTAGACCCTCATTCCTGGAGGAACCCACAAGGGGCGGGAAAGGAAAAGTAATTAGAGATGATATAGGACCAAAGAGAGGAAATTGATTAAAGAAAATGGTAGACCAGGAAGTACGCAGGGATCTTTGTTTCCCCTTTAATTACACTGAAATGTTTCAGTGGTCTTTTTCTTTGGGCTACACACAAAGCTGGAGCGTGAGGAACATTGTGGGGTTCTTTGATCGAGGGGCAGGGTTAAAGTGCTTGACATTTTGATGGATAGATGGACTTGTAGACCGATTGCCTTCATACCTTCTTATCTTGACTTAATTAAAGTGGAGGTCATCAGCTGTCATTAGAGCTGCAGTATTGAAGTCTTGAATAGTAAAGTATTTTTTCAGTTTGTGGTGTAATTGTAAGTTCTCAAATGGAAACGCTGCCATTTGAGGGTCAAGTGTTAGTGTCTAATCCCCAACTATGTCTGAAATTTGTGCTAAAAGGCTGTTGACATTTAGATAAGACGAACAGGGTCTTATCGCTGAAATATTATCTGGAGCTGCTTGAACATACAGTTCTCATGATAAAATGCTTAAGAATAACTTTGAAATTGGATGCTACCAGACTACCAGACCTGTGGTATTACTTTGGCTATGACAGCAAACTGAACATCAGGCACAAGAAACATGGGTTGTCTTTTCTGCATAACAACACAAACTTAATAGAGTCTTAAAAAAGGCTCCATGTCAGCAAGACTTTAGCAATGAATTCAAATTGAAACCTGAACTAACAGAGTAAACTTTGCCACTTCAACAAATCATTTCTCTTGGAGTCAAGAGTCGCAGGGAATAATGAGTGATATCCAGAGGTGTCAAAAGTAATCACCGTCATTACTCAACCAGAAGTAAAGATACCAGGATTAAGAAATACTTCTGAGAAGTTTAAGTATTAGTTCAAACTTTTTATCAAGTAGAAGTATAAAAGTACTAGTTTCAAAACTGAAGTATTGTAATGGGAAAAGTGCCAATAAGGAAAAAAAGCCTGCATGTTATTTAAAAATACAAAAAAACATACACTAGGCTACTTCTTTCAGCTGGATATGTGTCAAATTAAATGATTGCATTGATGTACAATGGAAATATATTAAAGAACCCACATGTGCATTTGTGAGCAATAATACGTTTTGTGAAGCCTGAGATATGATTGAGATATGATGACGAATTACCTAAAAAAAAGTCAGTCTTTGGAGGCCTTTTGAGAAGCATTTATTGGAGAGTAAAAGTACATACAAGCTTAGCTGCAGTAACGTTAAACCAAAGTTTCCAAAGAGGACAGGAACCAGTGAATCCAAGGCAGACTTTGTTAGCCCGGCCACCCAGGCTGAATCACACACAGTGTAATTTGTCTGCTAAACCACTCAGGCCAGATCTGACCAATCGTAGAGCAGCACGCAGGACGCATGGAGCGTGACTCTCAGCGGCAGAATTACCCATAATGCAGCGGCACTTTTCTGCTAGCATAACAACAATCTGGTGATAACAATGGAGCAATGTGGCAGTAAAAATTTAAGAAAGATCCTACAGAGCAAACCTTATATCCTCTGAATTTTTTTAGGCAAAACCGGCAGAATTTGTTCACTGGAGAGTTTCTTCTCAAAAACAGAGCACATCGCTTGGAAGGTTTGCATCACATCCACACATATCTGAAAGTAGTTATCTTTACCAAACTAATACAAAGGAACTGAGTGAGACCTAAAGAAATATCCTGTTAATGCACAATACTATGTTTGATATGGTAAATAATATATGCTTTGTTGAGCTGCAAAAGCAGCTGGTTCTCTTTAGTTCTAAGTCACAATTACAAAACATTGTACAAAAACAAAAAACAAGATTACATTAACAAAGGAAGAAAGACCTATAAATAAATAAAAAGTAAATTGCAAAATAAAATGTTACAGCTTACTTCTCCTTTGGCTTCTTGTCTTGCCATGTATGTATAGTATTTATAATTCTGGTATGACTTTGAAGTTCATCTGAGAAGGGAATTTCAAAAACAAGTGAATCTTCCTGCGCTAAGGAATCATTTGCAGATTTTTTCATAAGAACAAAAGACAAACAATTATTGTTCGAGTAAAATGGAGGAAAAATTAACTCTGGTTTTAGTTTCTTTTTACTTGTCAGCAGGTTTCGCATATTTCAATTATGTCAGGGTTAAAAACATCCAAGCAGAGAGATGCTGGAGTCAGATATTAGTGACTAATAGTACACTTGCCTTAAAAACATGCTACAGTTGTTGTTCCTGTTTTTAGAGACACTAATTAAACTGCTGCTGAAGCTTAGGAGAACCAGAACTGCAAAAATACAAAAAACTAATTAATGGCTTTAAGGTTGCATATTTTCTACCACTTTCACCACTTGGTGTGAGTCATTGTTTTCAGTATTGGTGCTTTAATATTGGCAAACCTCATATGCAGCCAGCCTTTCTGACAGGGCTAACGATAAATGCACATGCAGCCATTTACTGTTTGAATCGTTAGCTCTGAATAACCCCCAACAGAAACTTTTTTTTTTCATGCTTCATGGTTTAAATTTGGTTTATATAAACTAACCAATAAGTCCATGGAAACCCTGTGAAACTCAGCTGAAAAAAATACATCCAAGTATGTGGTTCAGTCTCAAAACAAGACGTGTTTTGTTTTGTTTTTTTCTGCTAAAGGTTTTCTCTTCCTCTTATTTTACTGTTGCTCTTCTGTCCCCCTTTGGCAAACGTGTGCATACAGTATGAATAGTTTCACAAGGCCAAAAGAGAAATAACAGCAGAGGAAGCTGATTGTGTGTGGGAGAGTGTGTGTGTGTGTGCTTGTGTGTGTGTGTGGCAGGGAGGGGGTAAAGAGAAAGAAAACAGGTTGTCAGTGTGGTTGAACAGCAAAATAGCATTTTCTCCCCTGGGCTCAGCCTCCACAGATGTTTCATTCAGGCCCCATGGCAGGGCCAATCTAAAAAGTGCTCCAGCCCGACACAATTCAGCCCCTTTGTGCACTAAAGGAGAGAGCTCGGCCCACTGTTTACTGCTCATCCACCACTGCAGCCCTCTTGTCTGCCCCCCTCCTCACACTAGCAGGCCGAACAATTGGGGAGGGTCTCGCACAGAGCTGGGGCAGTGTGGCAGGTCAACAGAATGGGCTGTGAATCCTGTGCCTCTGAATCCTCCGGGTGGGTGGTCCAGCTCTCTCTCTTCTCTCAGTCTCTCCACACATTTGCTCTGAAGCAAACCATCTCCTCTCCTCTCTCCTCGACTGATGCTCCTGTTCAGGGTCCATGACGTGGCGATAGGTGGCCTAAAGCGGAAGCCAAACGGGGTCTTTCTGCAGGATTAGTTAACTCCCTGTCCCCCTAACTATTATGGAGGGTCCCAAACAAACCCGGTCAGGCTAGTGAGCAGGAGGGGGCTGCAGTGATCCGCGTAGAGCCTGCCCGTGACTGGGTGGCAGTTAACACTAATCCTGCAACTGATTACCATTGGCATGGGCAAATAAACAGTAATAAAATTAACCTCCAAGGCCGTACATGCACACACAAAACCACACAAGTAGAGTGACAGCAACACACTTCTGACATAACAAACACACTGTGACAACTAAAAGATTCTGAAATAAGCTATGCAAGTTTTTCATTAAACACAGCGATCAACCATTAAATCCATAAATATTAGATATTAGTTCTGTTATATTATAAGATTATTATGTAGTCTTATTCTAGTAACAAAATCAATCTATAAAATAAATGGATCTAAGGGGTGGACATATATAAATACCTATGAAGGTATTATGCCCTGTGAAGGACTGGGACCTGTCCAGAGTACCTTGCCTTTCACCAATAGGCTGCAGGAGATGGGCAGCAGCCTCCTGTGAAGAAGACTTGATGAAAGGTGCTCTGATAATGTGGAGCTGGAAAACATCTGATGGGTTTTCTTTAGTCACAGTGACATCTAGTGACCATAAACCCAAATAGCACACAGAACTATTAGACAACATTTCCAGATCTAAGGGACATGACAATAGACCTAATATTCTGTGTGGCACAACAACAAAATACATGAAATAAAATAAAATCTTGAATTCAATCTGATAAGTTTAAAAAAAAAAATTAAAAGTCAAATGAAGTAACCAAACGGCCTTTTTTTCAACCTGTTTGAGCAACAGTGTTTTTGAAGCATCCTGTGGTCAGAGGCGTTCGTCCTTTTTTTTATTGCATCAGCTGCATCATGCAATACCCAAGCTTTGGGGGAGGAACAGCATATGATGCATCACCTTTGAGTACAGAGCTGTGCTCTTGATAACTCTGCCGGGCTTCTGGACTCCATCGACTGGTGCCATCAAACATACTCATAATGTCATCAAGTTGTTTAATTTTCATTGGTAAGAAAACATTTTCATCTAGATTTGATAAAAGAAAAAGCTTTTGATCAGGAGATTACACCTTTAAGAAACAAAGTACTAATTTTGGCTTTTAAATCTAAGGTTTTCTAATTTGCAGGTGTAAGTTTTCATTTTTTATCATAGATATTCATGTTGAGCATTCTTTAAACCATTTAAAAGAGAAAAGTATTTGTAAAAACGCTTGTTGTTGGTCTGTTTTGTTGCATATTTAGCCTTAACATATAAATATATTTTGAACTTTGAAATGTTCTGTAGTCTTCATATGATGCATTTGACCTACAGTAGGATATTTTGAGTTTTAATGCCACAGTGGTTCTGCGCTTCGTTAGCTTCCTGGTTTTCGTTTTAATTGATAGATTAAGAAAAGCAGAAGTGTCTCTTGACACTAAAAAACAGATTGTACATTGATTTAAACAGGTAAGTAAGACAATCTGCAATTGGAATAAGATGATTTATATTTGAAATAAAAAAAAATACTCTTTCAAAATTTTTCAAGAGCATTATACCTCATTATTTAATTTAAATGTAAAAATACACATTCAATTAGTAGATCACCTTAGTTACCTGCTAAAATTAAGGACAAATTCACTTATATGGATTCCTCCTGTATTTTTAGATCAGCATTTGCAGGACATCAACTTGATTCTGCAACATTTTCACAGCATCAGAGTTATACAATGTGACCTGTAGATGATTAATGCAGAACTGAGAAAACTTACAGGTATGATTTATTAGCCCAAGAGATTTAGTGGGGGCAGAAAATAAGGAAAGAAAAAGAACTGTGATAGGAGCCAGACATAATACTTACCATCTGAATAAGTTGGAAACAAGGAGTCAAGGGATCAGATGGTTGAGATGGTTCAGTAAAAGGGATGGGCGATCTGTGACAGAAGAGTAGCTCCTATAATAAAGATTTCTCCTTTAGTCAAAAAACATCTTGAACTTTTAAATCGAATCTAAAATATTGTGAGCTGAGGCATTAAGCTGTTTGGTAGAAAGTCTCCACTGAATCGACATTTTATTAGATATACTCGTTCAGTTGTTTTGGGTTTTTTATTTGCTTGAGACCAATCAAATGACAGGACCTTTATATATTTAGGCATCTAGATGGAGTGAGAAAAAAAACATTTAAAGTTTAAACTAGGAATCCGAAGCATGAAGAAAAGAGATCTGACAGATGTTGAATATGATTTTATCGTTGATAGAGGTGTCAAAAGTATTTATGTTTAATACTCAAGTAGAAGTATATATCTTTTTAAAAGCGCTTTTGTAGAAGTTAAACAATGAACTTAAGCTTTCAACTCAAGTAAATGTGTAAAAGTTTTAAAACTATTTAAAGAATAAAAGTAAAAGTAATGCAGAAGCTTTAAAACTTATGCTGCACTATTAAATTAACATTTTTCTACAATACTAGATGACAACGTCCTTATAATTAGTTTTCTTAGTTTTATAACTAATGGTTGCAGTGTCAAATTTAACTTTGTATCATATTGAAAAGCTATTTATTTTGGTATAGGGTGAACAACAAGTTGGTGCAGCAGTGAGTCCAACCACAAGAAATGAATTGTCTGGTTGAAATAAATACAAACAGGCTATAACGAAAATTTGCTTAAATTAAACAAAACTAACAAGTCTATTTTTAAAATGTAAGGAGTAGAAAGATAATTGCAAAATTATTTAAGGAGTAGAAGTAAAATATTAGTAAAAATATTTACTGCAGTAAAGTACAGATAGTAAAAAATTCCACTAAGTATTTGAGTAAGAGTATTTGTACTTTGTTACTTGATACCTCTCTCAGTAAGTGTTGCAGTGTTAAAGTAACACTTAAAGAATTAAATTCAGAACCAATGCGGGTGCATATTATCCCATTCTGAATTACTGTTAAATTAACTCTACATATTTTTTTACCTTAGTCCATTTGCTGTTGTAATAACTCATCAATGTACTTTGACAGTGCATATTTAACAGTGTGGAATAACAGTGTGATTGTTTAAACAGACAGACTGCTCTTCGATTCTATTGGGATTTCTCAGACTGGTTGAGAATACCTAAACTATCCTGTCAGCTGCAGCGGTGTAAAACAGAGCTCAGAGGAAAATGGCAGGGCTGGTTGGAGATGATATAAAGTGCAAATACTCATATTTCATTGTCGCAGTGTACACAATGTCTTGTCTCAATACTCAACACAGAACAAGAAAGCAGCAGGGCTGCTACAGTAGAAGAACCCACAGGGGCGTAGTTCACCTGTAAGGGCGTAATTTACACTTCCTCACCAAAATCTGAAAGGAAAAATGTCACATGGTCAATTTTAGCTGTAATATTTAGATGACAGAGCTGGACTTCTGCATATCAACACCTCTTCCAGGACGTATATTGCAACACTCTCCAGCAAGGGTTCTTAAACTCCAGTCCTCAAGGTTCATTGCAGCCTTTAGGTCTGAGTTATAGTCACTCTTAAGGGTACAGCACAGGTCTACATCAACTGTGTTCAAGCATCAATGAGCGCTGCATGTGTTTATACTTAATGCTGATGTTGGTACAATATTTTCTACAAATACATGGGACAAAACACCTAAGAAGAGACTGAATGTGAGAAAAACGGCTTCACACACACCAAACACAGCGGCATTTCCTGTTGAAAAGATTTTTCTTTTATCAACGTAATTCTGTTTTTGTTTTAGACTGAATAAAATCTTGAGGAGGAAACCAACTTTCGACCTCTTTGTAAAGGATATGCATCTCTAAAACTTTAGACTCTAATGTGTCAAACTTTGCAACTCACATTTGTGTTTTTCACCCTGTTTCTGTTTGTTGTTTTCCTTTCTGTGACTCACTTCCTTTTGTTCCTGAAATACTGAGTTATTCCTGTTTGTAAAATCTGTATTTTGGTCATTTAAAATGGAACCGTCTGCAGCAAGTTACAAACAGTCTGAGGTGCACTACCATGCATCACAAAGGCGCACAAACATTTATGTTAGCTTGATGCCTTCTGTATTAACCATGCTTTAAAAGTGGATCTGCTTCAAAACAAAAATACCAAACAAATAAATCCTATAATAATATATAATAATCATTTAAAGGAGTCTAGAGAACATAGCTGCATGAAAAAAATGCTATTCAGCCATTTTACCCAGGCGTGTAGAAGCAGACTCACATCCTAAAGGTCCAGGACATGATACCTCAAGGACCAGAAGTCAATTTAATTCTGTTTATTTTATTTGGCACCAATTTACAACACATCATCTCAAGGTGCTTTACAATTCAATTCAATTTACAGAAACGAAAGGACCAAGTGTCCCAGTGAGGTACCTCTTAGATATTGACAGTTTGTTTGAGCAGCTTTGAGCCTCACTGGCTAATTGGGCTTTGGTAGGGATCCCATTTTGGCCTCTCTTGGGCTAGTTCACAATGCAGGATGGTGCTGTACCCAGTTGTTGGAGGACTTTGAGATGTTCTCTCCTGCTCAGTGTAGGGGCTTGTGCCAGATGCTGAGTCAGGGTCTTCATTGCTCTTCATCTCTAAACATAAACCCAGCGTTTTTAGTTGAAGAGTTGACCAAACTATTTTTTTCAAGTAAAAGAACATGCAAGAGGTTAAGGAGGATATTAGCAAAAGAGTAATAATTACATGCTATTCATATAGACTCTCTAACTGTCTTTTTTTCTGTAGGGTTGGTTTTGACCTCAGTTGCTGCAATGAAAACAACCCCGGGTATCGACATTTCAACTGTCAACGATACTATAACTGGTTACTCTGATATCACCACTGAAACACCCCTCCCTACTACCAACAGCATTGGAAACATCTCTGAAATCCAAACTACCAGCGAAAGCATGACTGAATCTGCTAAGAACAGAAGTAACATCCCAACCCAACCAGAAAACAGCAACGGTGGTTCTGAAAGTCCCAAAGATTTAGTCACTGTCTTTTATTCACTTTTTAAATATAAATGTCTGTATGTTTGTTTTAGGGACTAACAAGAGCAATTCTGAAAGTATCAGCCCTACAACTACTGTATTCATAGCGCCTTCAACTACGCCTGCTCCCTACGCAGAAAAAACAGAAACTTCTACAAAGACGAATCCACCCACTACCCCAAAGAGTAAGTATTTGTTATATCTTGGAGAACATTAATCAGAGAACCAATGAGAAAGGTTCCAATGAGAGAACCAATGTATGAGACTGTACTGTATGAGGCATACAGTATGGTACAGCACAAACTTACAAACTGACATTGTGAAGAACTTGCAACCAAGAAAAAGATGGAAGTACAAACAGTTTTTTTGAATGGCCCACAAATAAGTGTTTAGTAAAAATCAACATACTTGTTGCTAGGGAAGCAGAAAAAAAGCTAAAAAAAAAAGCAGTCCTGTTTTAATTTAACTGTAAACAAAGTAAAATGCAATAATCCCAACATAAATTCTTTTTTATTGTTGTTTGTGAAGTAATAACTCTGGTTAAATTGACATATTGTATGTCTTACAGGTAAAGGTTCCTCTGCAGGCAGTAATGCAGGTGAGATTTTTCTTAAGTAAAAGTAGATCAGAAGTTGAAATAATTTTTCTAATTAGAAGACTCTATTAATTAGTCCAGATTACTGTAAAATCTAGGCATTAAGCCATGTCAATTTTTTTCTTCAAATTCTCTGCTTATCTCTATATTCACCCTTCATCACAACAATGATTCACTTACATCTCACTGAGGACATTTATTGCAATGCCCAAATCTTCTTATTTTTTTTGGAACCTTTGCATCAGCATGTATAACAAGAGGGCATCGAATTGTCCATACACTCCTGAAGACCTCTCGTGCAGTGTCCACCCATGTTTTGGATGGTTTTTCGTTGTCTTCACCACAGACTCGGAGGAGCTGGTTCTCATCCGCTGCTTCACACCAGGGTGTGAACTGCCCCATTGCCTGCTGTAGGTCTTGGCTGGAGGGAAAAGGCAGAATTATGTCACCTGAGTAAAAAGCAGGGATAAAATCCCCTGGTCCCAGACCCCCTCAGGTCCTTAACTGCACCAAGAAAATCTCATCCATAAAAATTATGAAGTGACAGAGGGTGCTCCTGCCAGAGTCCAACATGAACCTGGAACAGGTCCGATTACTAGCAATGTAGACCAAGCTCCAGAGCCGGGTTTACTTGCTAATTCACGTGGTAGCATTCAGCGCAGTCACGTCTGATCCAACAAGCCGAAACAACTCTGTTTACATCCGATAAACATGGAGCAGCTGTGGTGAGAGGGAATCGGACAGATTAAGGGCGAAACAATAAAGCCCGCTGACTATGCCCTGGCTTCCTTACATGTTGCTCTCCATTGTTTACTTTCCTTATTTCTGTCACACTGGTGACATCATCAACGCTAACTTTAGGTTTAACAAAGAATTAAGGGGAACAAACGGTGGCTCTGATCCCTCCTACTGGAGGTCACCTGAGGGGTTAATGGTAGTTAGGGGGTTCTGATGGGTCAATAAACCCGCTTGTCAGAGTAGTTTCGGTCCCATTGAAGTGTTTCCCCTAATTATTTTGTACACGCAATGTCGGGGGGAGAGAGGCCGAGCAGCTTGCCAATAGGGTTGAGACCCAGTATTTTTTGCCAATCAGAAGGGAGCCAAAGGCTGATTGTTAGCGGGTTGGCCGATGTTTAAAACACATGTTAGCCCACTATTTTCAGTGGAAAAGAGGCTCATGGGGGACATGGTGCCTTCTCCAGGTACACAATTAACATGATCTGGTTGGGCAAACTCCCATGAACACTGGAGAACCCTGCAGAGACGGTAGAGCTAGTCCACTGTTCCAGGGACAAGACCAAAACCACACTGCTGCTCTGAAGCTGAGGGTTGGCTCATCTCCTGCACCATGGCATTGGTGTGATCCCCTGAAAAATTGAGCATATCCTACGCCCCCCTTCTTATTACAGGGGAACCACTACCCAAGTCTGCTAGTCAAGGATTGTTTCAACTCTCACACAATGTTGAGGAGCTACAACAGCCCAACAAACATCAAGAGATCTGAGCTACCTCAGAGACTTATTTAAGGGAATGGTTTTCATGCAGCCTGCCTTTAGCTGTTGTGTTCTGTGGCTGGCTGGTTGTTGTTTTTTTCCTACTGGTCCATTCCACTTGCTCACTGGGTTCAAACCAGTTTCTGTTTCTGGTCATCATCTGGACTGCCTTTGATGGTCACCAGCATGTTCAGCCAATGTCCATCTTTCAAGCCTGTTTAACTTCCCACCAGCCTCCAGCTAATTTTATCCCCTGCAACACTGTAAAATTCGATTATTACCGTATTTTCACGACTATAAGGCGCACTTAAACGTCTTTTTTTTCCCTCAAAATGTGCGGTGCGCCCTATGGTGCGGTGCGCCCTATGTGTGTTGTAACTGCGACTTTTGAGACCACCTCATTGAGGAGATGATGGAAGAGTGGCTGAATGTAAGGAGACCAGGTGTTTTTTTTCCACCCCTCACCATCGCTGTTAATATGTAACTCCATGCGTGCCCATCTCACAGCTGATGTGAAAAACATGGGGAAACAAATTAACGCTGTGCTCGCTGTTCAACCGCTCGACATCGGTGTGAACCGGACCCAGCAGGTGCAGCAGAAGCAGCGAGTTTACATGCAAAGTCAATGGTTGACGCGCATATAGGTGCAGCAAAAGGTCCTGCAGCGCGTTTTGGTGCAGCACGTCGGGAGCGTTTAAGCATCTGATGCACCGCCAACGCGCTGCTGCTGCTCAGATGGAAAAATTGAAGTTTTGCTGCTGGACGCGCCGCATCAACCAATCAGAGAAGCTGATCTGGGAGCTGACAGCGAGACAGACACAGCGCTCTGATGACATATGATATTAACGCAAATGAAAAGGCTGGGTGGATGCGTGGCTGAGACAGGTGTATGTGAGAAGACTAGGTGGTTTTTTCCACGCATCACCATCGCTGCGTGCCCATCTCACAGCCGATGTGAAAAAAAGATGAATCAAATGAACGCTGTGCTCGCCGTTATCCCGGGGGTCTGACAAAGGAACTTCCACCGCTCGACATCGGTTTGAAGCGGCCGTTCACAGTAAGGCTGTGAGCGGCGTGGGAGCGATGGATGACAGACGGAGACCACAGTTTCAGGATAAATGGAAGGCAGCGCCGGGCAAGTTACGCCACCATTTGCGGATGGATTGTAGATGAACTAACGTGTCTGCTGGCTCTGTTGTTCAAGCTTTCGCAAAAGCCGGCATTATTTCTGAGGAGCCGCGCTGCACGGAAAGTGACTCTGACAGCGCAGAAGGGGAAACTGGCATGTCTGATTTAGCGCAGCTGTTTTATTCAGAGGAATGCTGAGGATAACAGAGGATGATGACTTTGATGGGTTTGATTAATACTTTGTAATAAATACATGAATAAAGCACAATCATACTCAGGTTTGCTCCCGCTGTATTTTTCTCCCTGAAAACTTAATTCAATGGCAGCCTCTGGGCGGGTCTCCTCCTCTTCAGCGCGGTGGCTGGCAGGTGTTTTTTCATCTAAATAATCTAAATCTTGCAGCTATATTTGCTGTGATCAGTGGGAATAAATAAGTATAAATATGTTTTTAAGTGAGAAAGGCCACCTGAAAACTTAATAATTGCAGTCAGTTCATCCAGATTATCTATTTCTGTCGGAGGCGCTCAGACCCCCACATACCAGCGGTGCACCGACAGTAGAAATCCTTTCGTTCACCGCGGCTGCTGGCAGGTGTTTTTCATCTAAATATTTTTAGCTGCAGGCACCAGGATACCGGTAATAAAAGCGAACATATTCCGTCGGCAGGTTTCAGGATTTTAAGTTAATTTAGGAGTGATCACAGCGCTGTGTCATCTGCGATGTGTCTGTCTCACGGCCAGCTGCCAGGTTTGATTAATACTTTGTAATAAATACATGAATAAAGCACAGTCATACTCAGTTTTGCCCCCGCTGTATTTTTAAATACGCAGTAGAGGTATTTAAAGGTAGTAGAGGACATGCACCTGTATATAAAAAACGCGCCTTTTAGTCCGGTGCGCCTTATGGTCGTGAAAATACGGTAGATTCTCTGTCAGACCCATCACAGATGATACAGTGTGATGGAGACAGCGGGATTATGGAACATGAACCGTTTTCCTTTCTTTAAACTAAATGTTTCATCTTCAGGCATCATCCTTCTGGTCGTAATCCTGATTCTACTTCTGGGAGTTGCATTTGCTTGTTTCGTGGCACGGAGAAGAGGAAGGGTAAGAGGAAAAGGCTTTTAATTCAGCATCAAACTATGGTGGTCGTATTTTGAAGAGCTAACTTTGCTGTGGCTAAAGATGAGGAAATCTTTCAGATTAAGGTTCCAGACCGTAACTAACTAACTAACCATAACTACACTCTCTAACTGCTCTCTTTTACAGGTCTACTCAATGAATGTTCCCCCCCAACCTGATGAAAACATCCCTCTCAGCACTGTAGAGCCTGAACTTATTGTTGAGGCTGCGCCCCAAAACGGTCACTGCAGCAATTTTAAAGAAATATAATCTCATAGGAAACATGAAGAGCTGCCAGAATTATGATCTTAATTTATAAAAAGTAACACATTTCTTTTAAACTTTTCAGGTCTCAAAACCTTTGAAAGCACAGAAACACAGGCCGCAAAGGAGCCACAAGAACCAGAAGTTGCAACTGAAACACATGCAGAGAAGAAAGGTGTGTTTGTAATTGTATTTTTTCAAATTCTGCGAGAAACAGGAAAGAGTGTTTCAAAAACAGAAACTCCTGTGGGTATGAGTTACAAGTTAACTCTGTACCATTTTCCTTCCTCTTTCTAATTAGTATGACAGCTCAGTGGAAGAGGAAGTGTAGTTCAGATTGCTCAGCTACCTATCTGTTAACCATCTTAGCTGCATAACGTAAGTGTGATAATGCATTAAAAACTGTTACAGAGTGTTGCAATGTATAAACCATTAAGCAAAATGACAAAGATAGCTTACAAAAATTACACAGTACCTTAAAAAGACATATTTTAATGCAGTTGCAGTTTAGGACGAAATATTTATTTTCTGACTGGATTATATATAGGAGCCAAGCTGAAATTACACTTTTAATCTAATCAGTGGCCTGCAATGAAATATTAACAAATGTACTTAAAATGATTATGAAATAGCAACCATCCATCATCATTTGCTTCAAAATGATCTGACACAGACTAGAGGGAAACCGCTGCTAGCAAGATGGCAGCTAAAAGATAAAACTTCAAGGTAAGGAGTTAAGCTGCAGTTTGTGTGCTGTTTAAATGCTGTGAAGATTCCCAGTCATCCAGGTCATGGTCAAGGTTGAAAGGTTCAGTTTAGGCAACTTGATGTGAAGTTTTCTAGAGGACGTTTCGCCTCCAATCTACGAGGCTTGTTGAGTTCTAACTAGTGGCAGGGAGCACTGAGATTCATATACTGTAGGTGTAACAAAGTGGGAACAAAGGATGGCACTGATTCATCCTACTGGATTGGCCAAGGAGCACACCTGAGGGGTTAATGGACTTCAGGGGGTTCTGATGTGTCGTTAACTCTCTCGTTGAGAATGGTTTCGGTCACACTGCCTCATTGAAGTGTTCCCCCTAATTATTTTTACACCTACAGTATATTAATCTCAGTGCTCCCCACCGCTAGTTAGAACTGAAGAAGCATCTTGAATGAGAGGTGAAATGTATTCTAGAAAGCTTCACGTCCAGTTACCTAAACTGAACCTTTCAGGCTTAAGCTGCGGTTAAAAAGAAAATTAAACAAGTTAAAAGCGTCTGCTCCAGAGTCATAGTTTTGCTCATCAAGAGAAGGCTGGGATAAATGCATCTGCTTAAAAGATGAGACCAAAATAATATTAGCAGCAACAACATCGGGACCAGGACTCCTCTTCATTTCAAGATGCACAATAAAGGAGAGAGAGTTAGTTATTCAAGTTATTCAAGAAGATCAAGGATGAAACTAAGGACTGATGCAAAGTAATTTCATCAAATGAGCCCTCTTCTCTTCTGAGAAGAAATCAAGACAATCATTGGCCTGGAAAAGACAATGGGAGCACTCCAACAAGTTCCCATCCGATTGCTTCTCCTTGTCAGGACCAGGAGTCCTCACAAATGTCAAGTAATAATTCTATAAAGAGGAAGCAGTTGACTTGTCCCCCACAAGTAACCCTTTCAAACAGCTTGCAGTCAGGCAACTCTACAGGTCTTTAACATGCGATGAGGAAGATGTGGTCTGTTTCCAAAAAGAAGATGAAAAAGATAAAAAAGCAGAACCATTTACAGTTCCACAGTGGGGAACTTCAGGAGTTTCCAAAGCAGGTAATGATACATTTGCAAAAGAAGAGAACTGCAAAAGGAAAAAAAAATATTGACAAGAAAAACTGCAAAAACTAACAGCAGAGGCGTAAAGAACATATCCATGGTTGTTGAGAACCATGAGGTAATGAAGTGTAGTAACTGCTGAGAGGAAGAATCCTTGATAACTATACTTTGTACACCTGGCGTAGAGCAGTCTGCCACTTCTTCAACTGCTTCATGCATGGAGTGCGAGACCTTGTCCAACAGTGATGCAAACTACACCCTAGAGGACTGCAGATGCAACCAGAGAATAAGGGAAGGTCTTAAAGGTGTAGTGTCCAAATGTCCGCCCTAACCCCTAAAACCCTCAATCACCATATAGTGGACTTAGTGAACTCAGTTAACTTACCGTTTAGACGGATGATCACTGATTCTGCTCCCCGATGGTCACATAACTCCTCCTCCACCACGCGGTGCCTGCGCCGGCGCTGTCAGGTAGCGACAGCCTATGGGGAGGGCTGGCTGCTGTGACAGCAAATCCCATAATGCTTTGCAAGGAGAGCTCTCTGCGCAAAGCATTCCGTGGTATATCTGACTCTTCTGAGACTTTTCTTTTCTTCTCATACACTTCTTCTCTCAGACACTTATTCTCTTATGACCCTCGGCCATTTTCAAAGAACCGTGGTGGGAAAGGTGAGCTTGAATGACTGTCTGAAACCATAGCTCACCACAGATATACGCCTGAAAGTGTGCATGCGCACAAAAATATAGCTAACAGGACAAACACAGAGGAAGGCCTTACGTGAACATAATTATGATTGACAGACTGAATGACAGTAAGGAGGACCACTTATTTTGATGATCCACCCAGAAAAAGAAAATCCTCCATTATACCTTTAAGGTTTGCAGACTACAGTCCAAAGCATCTAGAGTTTAGGAATAAACAATGTGAAGTTTAAGCATGCAATGAAAAACTATCAAAAGTACAGAAATATTTTCAGATTCTTTATAAGGTTAGAGTTATAAGTAAAAGGAAGGGATAGTGGAAATAAAGGAAAAAAGAATTTAAAAAAATGAAACCACACAATGCAGAAGTTTTGTGACTGATATTAAAGACTTTGGTCTTTGGAGTTAGAGATGGTTCTTTGAAGAACAAATGTATCATCATCATCATCATCATCATCATCATCATCATCATCATCATCATCATCATCATTTCTGTTTCCCTCCATAAAATGAATGGGTGTGACTTGTAAGACGTGGAAGGGGAGAACTGCCCGGCAGTACTCTTGCTGACCACATGATGGAAACAGAGGCTCAGTGAAGCTATTGCTGATGCTTCATCATGCACACAGCATGGCTTTGGTTCTGTTAAAAGCTGTACATCTGTGTGTGAGGTCTGGGTAACTTTATAAGGCTATTTTGTAAATCTGTAAATTCAATTTAATTCATTTTATTTATATAGCGCCAATTTACAACACAAGTCATCTCAAGGCACTTTACACTTCACTAGATCATACAGTCGAATTGATTCAAAGTTTTCTTTCAAACCCTCACACTAAGCATGCTTGTAGCGACAGTGGAGAGGAAAAACTCCCTTTTAACAGGAAGAAACCTCCAGCAGAACCAGACTCAGTGTGAGCGGCCATCTGATGAGGCCGACTGGGGTTCAAGGAGAAAGAAGCAGAGACACAAAAAGCAGCTGTAAAAGGTGGCCCCGTCCAGGAAACACACAGCCAGGCAGGATGAAGAGAGCACATCCAGCCATTCACGGTCAGAGAAGCAGGACTACACTGAAAAACAGGCCAATCTCCAGCATCTATAAACAAAGGTGTTGATGGCAGCAGCACAGCTGATATTTCTCTCCAGGAGGATGTCACAGCCAAGCAGGAACAGATGAAGCAAAGCTACCATGAAAAAAAGCAGAGAGTGCAAAGTGGCAAAGATAAAACTTTTTGCAACTTGGTATGTTTTCTGATTATGCAGATTTTGGGCCTATAACTGTTATTGTCGAAGTTGCATTTGCTTGTAAATAAGCAAAGGCTGGATCTTTTGCTTTGAGGTGTCTGTGTGTTAGATTATTGCAGTAAGTAGTGTCTGGACATGTCACCCTGCCTTAAGCCTCATTTTACACCAGTGAACGGTGTGAACCGCACGCAGACAATATCTTGTTCTGCTCTTCTTTGTTTTGTTTTTCCTTTTAAACCAGTGTACTGTAATTAAGACCAACATTGGTGGTTATTTATGGTCGCGGTTAAACAAACCTAGATGTAGAAAAGCTATATTTTGAATTGAAAAAGCTTCCAGAATGGGAAGCGAAACGTCTTCAAACTTGGAAACCAAGCCCAGTGGATTGTTTTTTTTTACTTTTTTGGAACGACTATGACCTGGATGACTGAAAATCATCACCAGCATGTAGAAAAGCTGCAGTAACATGAGGCATGCATTTTCTTGTCATCACAAGAAGTGTTTCTTCCTCAAAACAATTACTTCACTGCTTGTGACGATTTTCCTTCCACAAAAAAATGTAACCCACAACATTTGCATGAGAGGACATCGTTGTGGCAACTGCAGGCAGAAAAATAAATAAAGCAATTATATTTTAGCCTTTAAGAATTAATATGGAAATTTAAGAGTTGTAACTTTGTGAGATAGAATAAACACTGACAGGAAACATTTACGTGGCCTTACCAGATAATGACGTAAAGTAGTCATGGAATATTTAGTTTATCATGTCCACCTCAACAAGGAACTGCACTACGGTAGCATTAAGATGCTGAATAGAGATGCAGGTAGCAATCAGAAGTAATGTGTTTCTTGTATTCTGTTAGTAGATCAGTGTCTGAAATTCTGCCCATCCAACACCAACGGCCTTGCCATGTTTCTGCCTCTTAAATCAGCTTTCTTTACCCTCCTAATTTATCAGTTTGGGCCTGAGCAAGTCTTCTCTAGAGGCCTGAATGCAGGAAGTGATGTAATAAATGTAGAAATGTCCACCAAACAAAAAAAAAGTACAGCAAACAGCAAAATGTTGCAAGTGGCAAAACAAAAAACACTTAAAAGGCTTTTAAAAAAGCTAAAAATAAGCTTTGTATAGCAGTAATGCTATGGGGGGAAACAGCCACCCACTCACATGGGACCAGACCTTTGATAAGGACATGAGCAGGATGTTCAGAGACATTGGCCAATTTTCATTTCACAAAAACACGGATACAGACTTCTATTCTCACCAAGTCCGTTCCTGACAAGAACACAGGAAGTATGGACTCAGGGAGAATGGGAGCACACAGAACAAGTCTGTCTTATTTGGAACATAAGCGAATTTGTGTCATCACCACACTTAAAGCAGAACTGTATGACTTTTAGCCACTAGGGGTGCTAGACTCATAGTTTTCAGATTTGGCGCCCCTGCAGGCCACTGGTAGCACTGCGCTCTCTCTAAATAAACCAGTCTCCCTCCGTATTCTAGTTCTGATAGCAGAGCACTTTGGACCCTTAGATCTAGAAGTCCTGGTGTTTCTGGCAAAGACGAGGAAACATTCACCACTCTAGATCAGGGCTGCCCAAAGTCGGCCCTTAAGGGCCACTTTTTCACAGGTTTTAGAGATTTTCCTGCTTCAACACAGCTGATTCTGATAATTGCAGGTAAGTAACAGCCTTTTAATCAGCTATCAATAGAAATCAGCTGAGCTGAAACAGGGAAACCACTAACACAAGCAGGACAGAGGCCCTCAAGGGCCAAATTTGGGCAGGCCTCCGATTAAATCATCTATCATGGAACCAGAAATTTGTCTGGTCAGCTAATGGTCAGAAAAAACAGCAACTGTTCTGCTGTTTAACTGGAGCTCATACTTATGGCGGCACTCTGTGTCACATGGCCCATTTAATGAAGGATTGACCCTCTGAGGTGAAATATGAGCAGCCCACATGGAGCATCGACGCAGTGATAAATATTCACCTGAAAAAATAAGTGATATCTCCGATTCAGCTATTACTGAACCTAGCTGAACAAAAACATATATATTATATAATATTGAAAAGAAAACAAAAATTTTTTCTTCCCTCCTCTGGAAGGCATAACATTGATGTTGAAGGGTCAGGTTCACAGACAATAATTCATAGTAATTCATAGCAGAGTTCCTCCGAACTCTGCTTAGCCAGAAACTGGAAGATGAGGGGAAGACAGACTTTTAGATTCAGGCTCAGTGGGAAATTGGAGTTGTTAATCTTGAAGGAGAGAATTTGTTGCCACTCACGTTTCCAAAGAAGAAGAGACACTTAGACTCCAGTCTGTGTGTTGGTCTTCCAGAGTTTGTTTGGTTCGGTGGAGGGCGGAACAGGGTTTACCCAGAACTCGGACGGAGTGGAATGATACAGCCGCTGGTTGCCACTCAGTTTTCCTGTGATACTTGAACGGGTCGTGGTGAAGATGATTCCCTTACTCAGAGAGTGATCTCAGCGTTCTCAAAGGCGGCTGGATTCAAACCTCCTGTTTGGAATCCGTTGCTCAGTGTAAGACTCAGTTGATCCCCTTTGGGAGAGGGCGGTCCGAAAAGGTCCAGTTTGCAGGAAGGCAAACCACTATATGCTTAAGATTTGAACCAAATGTCATACCCTACTCTCTAGCCAGATAGATTTCTGATTTTTGTTTCTCCTTAAATGTAAATGTTGCCACTAGCTGGTCCTACAAATCATCCTCCTAACATTGCTCCCTCGACCAACGGAGATACAGCGATTTGTTCCTGTGACTACCCATGTTTTGCGAGTCAGAGGAGGACACATTGATCTCTTTCACAAAAAGCATGGGATGGTTAAAAATGCACCTTTTAAGTGTCCTCTGAAAGAGTTTACAGGCATTGTTGAAAAGAAATGGAAGTAATGTGCCTAATAAAAAGGCAAGTCCAGTCATTGTTAGAAGAGCACAATGGCCTAATGCAGCCTGTGAAGGTACAGATGAGGGATTTGATTCAAATTCGCAAAAACAAACCTCTGTTCTGTAGTCAAAAGCAAATCTGGTTCCATGATGAAACATCCACGGCAGATCCATTATAACTTTCCTAAATGGAATAAAAAAGCATGGAAACAGTTGGCTTTCAGAGATCATGAGCAGATCTCCTTTGGTTATCACCTAAAGAAAATTCTACCCCAGCAGCAGAGTACCAAACTAAGGGCCCAAGTTAATACAAGCGGGGAAATTCATTACTTTATGGAGTGACAGATTTATATCCTGATCAGCAAACATCCCCTAACCTCAGCCTTCCCTGCTTTGAGAACTGGGTAAGAAACTGACAGCGCTGCCCCACTTTCCCACGTACCCCAAACAGCTGCATAGCTTTGGCTTGTTAGGAGTCACCCAGTAATCAACGGCCTCATTATAAACCTGACGGCCCCCTAAGAATGCAGACGCATAAGAGAATTACTGCCTGGGCTCAGAAATACCCCAGGCTCTTTGGGTCAAAAGGTCGTCATGATTTGGTGAATGACACCATCAAACCTGCAACATTGTGAAGTTTAAATCATGGATAATTATTGAGTAAATCAACAGTGCGCTCTCTGCAGTAGCTTACACCATATTTTTATTCTTACAGGTACCAAAATAATAGGGAAATACCTTTTTACTAACATCTTGAATCAATGTTTGATTGTGTTCAGAAGAGGCTGCCCCATCTGCTGCTGCACCCAGCTCTGAGCCTGCGGCTCCACCTGAAGCTCCAGCTGCAGCTGTTCCAGACAATACTCCTGAAGCTCCGCCTCCGGACAGCTCAGAAGAGAAACCGAAGGTGGATGATGCAAAGCAAAGCCCCCCTGCTCCTGTGGACCCCTCTGCAGATGAGAAAACTGATGATGAAGGTGTAGCCTCCAACAAGACTTCTGTGGAGTCACTGAAGGAGACGAACGAGAACAACAGCAACAGCCGCAACTTCAGCTTTAGTCAGAGAAGAGGTATTTATAGTTGATGGTAAAAAAATCTGAGTCTTTATTTGGAAATTTTCTTTTTCTTTACAACATTTCTTTGACCTACACACATATATGACTTTACAAAACCTTTAGATCACAGAGGGAGACTGGTTTATATAGCCACTTAAACGTGGAAGTTAAAGGTCACCTATTGTAGCTAAATTCAATTCAGTTTATTTATATAGTGATATTTCACAAGACCTGTCATCTCAAGACACTTTACAGAGACAATTAGACCACATCGTATATTCAGGTTGGTTCAGATTTTCTGTCTAAGACAACCACCTAATTGAATTGAAAGCAATCCCTCAAACCAAGCATGCTTGTAGCGACAATTGAGAGGAAAAACTCCCTTTTAACAGAAAGAAACCTCCAGCAGAAAAAGGTTTAGTGTGAGCGGCCATCTACCGAGGCCGACTGGGGTTCAAGGAGACAGGAGCAGGCATACAGACAGAATCCTAGAAACAAAAGGCAATTACCAACCAGAGGCGGCCCCATCCAGGAAACACACAGCCAGGCAGATGAGCTCAGAGCCACTTCCCATGTCAGAGGATGAAAGAGAGCACAACCAGTTAGTCACAGTCAGAGAAACAGGACTACACTGAAAAACAGGCCCACCTAAAATGGACAAATGAGGACATTAGGGCCAAATCATTCACACTGATCCAAATTTTAATAAAGACCGAAGGTCAGACATTTAGAGCCTTTAAAGGCAGGGGCGGAGCCAGGGGCTGGACATGGCCACTCCTAGCCAATCTTTGGTCTTGGTCTTCCAAGATGTTTGTTTTCATCATGTGGAGATTGTTCATGACCTCCTGGACAAGCAATTCTCCTCTCAAATAGAGTACTAGCTGGGATTTTCTTAACTGCATATTCCAGCTAATTTCACAATTTACGTGTTAATATATTAAAAACAAACTGAAAAGAATACAGTAATCAATCAATTATTTACATCAATATAAAACCATTAAAGATAACAAATGAAGAAGGAATGACTTTTAGGAACCAGTTTTTGTAAACTATGGACAACAGGGGAGAGTTATGTGTCTCTCCTGTCATCTAGGAGTCTTTTATGTATTAAAGATAAAAAAAAAAACAACTGCTTAACACATTTATGTGGACTAATTGAAACGGAACAGATGTAAAAATATGGTAATATGCAGCATCTTTGTTTTTTACTAGAGCTAATGTTTCTATCCATTACATTAATTCAGCCCTTTTTTACTATATAATATGTGCATTATTTAATAAAGCACACTTCTTTATATTTGGATTCTTTTACAAAAATATTTCAGTGGTTCTAAGCAGTTTTTAAAGTGTTGCTACAGTCCTGCATGCTACCTATGAGCCTTAATACTGCTGCATAAACAGAGGACTCAATGTGTGCTGTTGAGTTTAACCTAATAACCTTAATATTTTTTTATTTTTGTCCATGATTTTATCTGTAATAGTGCGATAACATGTCAAAACAACTGAACTTTTAACAAAATGATTTATAAAGCCTATGTGAAATATGTGCTAATAAGTTGCTTCTTTACTCAGTGAATGTGTCCAAAGCATGCAGAAGTTACATTCCGTCCTCCATGCTGACCACAATTTGGTGCTGCACATGCTGCTCTAGCAGGAAACAGATCCTCGCTCACTGTGGAGGGCCTTGCACTGATTCTTAATTGGTTTCATACTTAATAAGGCAAAGAGTGAGAAGCGGGTAGGGCGAGGGAGTAGCCACTGATTGGTAAAGGCCCTTAGTTATAGTTCCGGATTACCATGAATTAGGGTTGTCAAAAGTATCGATACTCAAAAAAGTATTGATACTGAAACATTGTATCCGGATACAATACTCATTTTCAAAAGTATCGATACAGTGCTACCACCAGTGGCACCTAAGCAGTCATTCATCGAAAGTGCAGAATAGAGGAAAATGCACTTTCAGAACACTGTGTGATTGAATAATTTTGTGCACTTTTCAGTTTCAGACTTTTTTTTGTAACAGGTGCAGCTGCTGAGAATGATTTTTGTTTCTTAACCGGTTTGGCTAGTGTCATTGCTATCTGTGCAAAGCATAGCTAAGGAAGGAACACTTAATTTTAATTTTGTAAGGTTTTTACCAAGCTTGCTTAATATTGTGCACAGCATACAACCTCAAAATATTCTTCTTATTGTTTATTGTATTTATTTATTGTATTTTTCTTATTAATTGAAATTTCTGTTGAATTTTGGAGTCTTTGTTTTTATCCTTGTGGTATCAAAAATGGTATCGAGTATCGAATATTTTCCTTAGTATCTGTATCGAGTTGAAAAGTTTAGTATGGTGACAACCCTACCATGAATGAGCGCTGTGTTTGCATGACAGTACCAGTTTCATAGAACCTGTTCTTTCTGGTAAATAATTGAAGGCTCAGCCCATCAATAGTCACATCAAGGTTTAAATATTTCAGCCTCCAAAGACAGGCACCTGGTTAACTCTTTCATCAAGATAAGGTCCAGTCTGTAAACTGGTGTCTGAGCTGCTTGCCTCATGTTGGGATCCCTCCAGTCAGGATCCTCCATGTTTCCTCAGTCAGGGAATGAGCTGGAACAGCATCTCCATTGACTGTTGACAGCAGGGCTGCCATGTTGTAATAACACCATCTTTGCCAGGCATTTGTCTGATTTTGCTCACAAAACCTTTTACGAATGCGCAGCACTTCTTCAGGCTGTTAGGTTGCTTCAAAGAACATAAGAATCACTGAGCAGATCTATGCCGTTTGTTCACAGATGGACAGGGGAGCTGCATACCGTGGGAGAACCAAGTCGACTGCCCTGTGTGAGAGACGGCGGACGGCATTTAGTCCTGCTGTCCCCTGGAGACAAGGTAGGACAGCAGCTCATGGATGTAGAGCTTCAGCTGTTCAGGCAGTTAAAGCGCTCATAAAAAGGCAACCCCAACCCAGCCGAGGCTACAAGTCAACAGACTGCATTCAGGCAGCTGGAGTTACAGCTTCCTGTCCTGAATTGATCTGTTATAAATAGAAAACTCATAACCATTAACTCCATAATTAGACCCTGCGCTTTTCCCTAAACTGTGCATCAAACTGACAGCCATTCTTTTAAAATAGACAGAGTAAAACTGACTCCAGAACAAAAATAAAGCAGCGTAAAACTGCAAGCCTTTTATTTTATTATTGGTTGCTTCTACTTTAAATGTTTTTTTAAGCCTTTAGGTTTGTTATGAACAAGATGAAACAAAGTGAAGTGAGGTGAAAAATAATGTCTATATGGGACTTGTTTAGGAGATATGAGAAAACAATGCTATAGAAAGCTTTGGGTTTCCCAGCCCAGCCTAGGGTTTTCCTTTTAGTTCAGTTCCAGGGAGATATTATATGAAGGCCTTCAGATTCTTCCTCAAAATAAACTTATCTTATCTGTCTGTCATTGTCATCCATAAAATAGCAAAAGCCATTTCCTCTATGTGCTCCTCCTTGCTTGAGATTTGCTTGTTATACTCTGCAAGCAAATCAAAGCATTGTGTTTGTTTCCCTTGTGGTGCATTTACTGCTGCAGGAACTTTGAGCACCGGACAGAGGACAGCTAAACTATGAATTGCTTCTCAGCCAAAACCAATCCAAACGTGGGTAAAACAGGTTTTCCCTTATTAGGCTGTTGTGCAAAGTGACAGTTTAACCAGCAAATGTTAGGCAAGTTTATTTTACAGTGTTGCTTAACGTGATCCAATTGTCATCTGGATTGAGATTTACTGGAACATAAAAAGCATACATTTGGTTCAGAGGGAAAAAAACGACTTTTGTCTTTAAACATTCAAAGCATGTTGAGGAACGTCATCTTTAACTTTGCATCCATTCATGTAAGTACCAGCAAGAATAGTTGCTTTGTTCTAGTGTGGATTTTAACACTGAATTTTACTCCACAGAGTGAATATCTGGGAATAAAACAGAAGGAATAAATGCTGGTTAAAATTTAGTGTTTCTGTCAGTAGTTCAAGCTGGATTATTCATTGGTAAATATTGCTGAGTTTAGAGTTTACCTCTATATATCTCTCTGCTGGGGCTATTTTGTTGCCTTTTTTCCTTTAGTTTGCATAATTTCTCCCTGTAACCCTTTCTCTATGCTGTCTAAAAGGCCAAAATAAAATTACAAGTGAGAACGAGCTCATACTGGAGCTGTTGTTCAACACTGTAAACTCTGCTCAGTTTCAGCCTTTCATTCCTCTAACTGCTGCTTCCCACAGATGGATGAGATTCCTGAAGCTTGAGTAGTAACTTGGTCCTTCTCAGTCTAATCACCAAGTGCTCCAGGATGTAAGGTCCACACCTGCACCTGTGTCTTTTCTCCCTGTGCTCATAAACACTTGGGGGTGGGGGCAGCGGCCCAGGGCGAAGGAATTCACACTTCTCCTAACAGCTGATGATAAGCTCACACTTGAGAAGAGGGGGCTCAGCTCAGCTCTTTTTTCACCAAAAGTTTCACCACACTATCACCAGTCTGGTCAAGTCTGGTCTTGTGCTTTGAAGCAGTAAATGGTTCCTTAGGGGAATAAAAATAGTGGGGAAGGTTTTTTCTTACAATGGTTGCTTTTTATTCCACTAATGATCTTCCACTCCTTAACCCATGACACTAAAAAAAAAAAAAAAAAAATAACACCTGATATCCTAAGATTTGGAAACATCTTTTTTGTCTGTCTTTAATCATCTAATAATTGTTGGAAGCTTCAGATTGGTTCTTTAAAGTATTTAAAGGAGTTCAGTCATGTACTATAAAAAGACAAAAAAAACAAACAAATAAAACTATTTTGTCTTCATCAAATAATCATTGGTGTTGATAGTGTTTACTTATCCTTTTGAGCTGGATAAGACCAGGTACGTTTAGCAGATTTAAACATTGTTGTTCATCATCTGCTTCAGCTTTTGGTATTTAACTTTAATTCTGAACAATGTATAATATCATACATATTACTTAATGAAGAAAATTTTCTGTCAATCTAAAGGTTTCTGCAGATTTA